TGAGAAAGACCATGGGGGTACCATGGAAAGAGGGAGTGGTGCAAGGATTTGTTTCCTTATGCTTAGTCACCCGGCACTCAGAGGTTGCTGCAGTTGTGGCCCCAGGATGCTCAGATACTGCTCAGGATGGCACAAGACCTTGGCTTGTGAAATCACATGATGTAGGTTCTATAGAAATTCAGGAATCCTAAAGTCATGGGGTCATGGAGGTTTCCACCGAGGTTTCAAAGGAAAGCATGAGAGGCAGGAAAAGTGGAGCAGAGTTGACGTTCCATCTCTTTCCTACTGGGACCTTGACCTGAACAGTGAGGATAGAAAGGAGGGGAGAGACTTGAGAGGAGGTAGAATTGAGAGGTTTTGATAACCAACTGGATGTGAAGAATAATCTCTGCCAATAACCCCTGTGAGGGCAACGTGTAAAGATGTACGAAGGAAGCCTAAGATGCAGTAGAGACCCCCGAAATTAAGAGATGCCAGTAACATGGAATGTCTACCATAGAAAGCTGCAGGAATTGAACAGAGACAGGCCAAGAAAGAGGCCATATGCGCTAAAGTCAGCAAGGCCACAGGGGTGAGCTACCCTTTTGAGGTAACAATGCCATGTGCTCCAGATGCCAGATGTGGAACTACAAGACTTATTTCCTCTGTGGAATTTTGTTCTTGCTTTGATTCCATCCCTTCTTTTATGCTGCTGTTTCTCCTGGTGGAAAGGAAATGTTTAGTCTGTGCCATAATGTAACTTGCTTTTGATCTTGACTCACGGTTGAAGAGTTTGTTTTGAATCTCAGATGAGATTTTGGACTTTAACTTTTGGCTAATGCTGAAACTATTAATACTTTGGGACCGCTTAGAAATTTACTAAATGTATTTTGCATTGTGAGATGGGCATGAGTTTTGGGAGTATAGGGGCAAAATATTAGGGTTTAGATATGAGGTGATCCCCAAAGCTCATGCATGAGGCAATGCAAGAATGTTTACAAGTGAAATGATTAGATTATGAGAGCTGTCACCCAATCAGTAGATTAATCCACTGAAACAGATTAACTGCTGGTAACTGTAGGCAGGTAGGGTGTGACTGGAAGAAGCAGGTTACTGGGGACGTGCCTTTGGGTTAATATTTTTTCTCAGGTGAGTGGAGTCCTCTCTCTACTTCCTGTTGCTATGTCTTGAGCTGCTTTCCTCTGCCATGCCCTCTACCTTAATGTTCTGCCTCACCTCACCTCAGATGGTGGAGTTGGCCCACCATCGACTGAACCTCTGAAACTGTGAGTCAAATTAATCCCCTAAAATAAAAATAAAAAATCTTCATAGCCAATCCCTCCTTTCCATGCTCTTTAGGCCCATATGACCTAATGGCAACCTGCTCATATTTTATGTGCTAATAGTCTCTTCATGATGCTCTCCTCAATGATCCACATCTGAGTGTTCCATTTCTTTCCTACTGGGACCTTGACCTGAACAGTGAGGATAGAAAGGAGGGGAGAAAGTTGAGAGGAGGTAGAATTGAGAGGTTTTTTTTGTTTTTTTTTTTTTTTTTTTTTAAATAAGAGAGAGTGAGAGAGGGGAGAGAGAGAGAGAGAGAGAGAGAGAGAGAGAGAGAGAGAGAGAATTTTTTTATTATTTATTTTTTAGTTCTCGGCGGACACAACATCTTTGTTGGTATGTGGTGCTGAGGATCGAACCCGGGCCGCACGCATGCCAGGCGAGCGCGCTACCGCTTGAGCCACATCCCCAGCCCCAATTGAGAGGTTTTGATAACCAACTGGATGTGAAGGGTGATAAGGAAATGGTATTCATATATTCATATATAGTATATAGAGGTCTTCAGCTTGGGCTACTGGGAGGATGAAGATGTGTGATAGGAAGGTAGGATTAAAGATTCATTTTGAGATGCTCAGGAGAGCTGGAAATGTGGGTCTCTGGTTAGGAGAGGTCATAGCTGGAGTTATTGTCTGAGACTCTTCAGAATTGTAGGGTAGTTGATGCCACAGGAGCTGATAAGCTCTCCTAGGAACAGTGGGAGAGGAACTCAGGAATAAACTTATGTCTAGTTAAGGAATGAAAGGGAGATGAGGCAGGGAGATACCAGGCTAGACTCCTGATAAGTTGGTGTCATCATAGGTAGATAAGGGACATGTCCCTAAGGAACTAGATGCCATTTGGGGTGATTGTCATGGGGAGGATGTAATCCCGGACATTGTTAGTCCAGGTACAGTCAAGCAGTGGCATCTTCTCAGCAGTTAGGGGAGTGAGAAAGACAGTGATGGGCCTCTTGAAGGGGATCACCAGCTACCAAGGGACCTAAGACATGGGAGCAAGAAGTCTAACCAGCATATTTCTGAACCTGATGTTTCAATCATTTACTGCTTTGGTTAACTGGGCTAAATACAAAGGCTTTACTATTTCAAAGTACTATAGCTTTAAATGGGATCTCATTATATAGTTCAATAGAAAAACAGGAAGTTCATCAAAAGGAATAAGTGACAATGGGAAATAGAATCATTCATGTGGAAAAACTTTAAGGAGTACAATGCTGTCCTGTGTTATAAATGAACAAGAAGTCTAAAGAAAGTGAATGTAATCATGATTTCATCTGACATTTGGAATTACCCTTTGTCTTTGCAATGTAAAGAGCAGAACGAATGCTTCTGAATTTTACTGCTAACCACAGAGAAGGGAGCAAAGGGGGCGGAGCAAAGCCATGATCCTTAACCTTTCAGGGATAGTCACTGATTCTCACTGAGTAACTGAAAAAAAAAAAAAAGAAGTGGACTCCTTCCTCATTAAAATGAATGCAAACATACTCACACAACTACACATACGATATTGCATACAATTGTGGAAGTACAAAAAGGTACCTGTCTTGTTAATAATTTTACCACCAGTGCCAGAAACACAGTAGATGCTCAAGAAATATTTATTAAGTGATTGAATAAATAAATGAGGGTGGTATTACATTTATACAATCATGGACAAAATGTAAACATCATGGTTAGAAGTGGATAAGGTATTAATTTGATTCATTTATCATAGTCGTTCTCAACCCTAGCTATACATTATAATTTTCTGAGGAGAGAGCTCTAAAAAATATTGATGCCTGAGCTCTCCCTCAGAACAACTGAATGAGAATCTTAAAATATTTGGGTCCTGAGCACCAGTCTTGTTTAAAAGCTCTTCAGATGACTTCTAATGAAAGTAGCAAGTTGAAAGATGTATCATTAAGTAGAGAGTTGGGATATGAAGGCATGGGTATGACAACCACAATTTTAGGGAGGAAATCAGGAATAAAATAATTAGCTCTTCCAATTCCATAGCACATTCCATATCACTTCCATATGCCTGGCTTCATTCATACCCCCCAAAGATACCTAGATAGTTAAGCCAAACAGGCATTAGTGACTCTCCTCAGATTAAACCCAAGTCTGTCAATACAAACTCATATCTTCTGAATTGAATATGCTGTCCTTTTAGTTTTGCAAAACTGGTTTTGAGAGGATCAGAACAGTGGTCCTATCCCCACAGAATCAGACTCAAAAGGTCTGGAGTTGGGGTCAGGGAATCTGTAATGTCACAAGTACTGTTAGTGATTTCCTTGCAAGGCCAGGTCTAGGACAGCAGCTCTAAATTGGGGCTGGAGGAGAGGTAGGGAGAGGTTGTCAGTCAGAATTACCTGGGGGAAATTTTCCAAAAGGCACATACATCCCAGAACTATGGAATCAGAATGCAGAGGTATTGAGGCTGACGATACAGAAAATGCTTGATCCTGATGCCACTTTCACCTTAGCTGAGAACCAACATCATGGGGCACTTTTTTGAGAGTCAGCCAGGTTCTGGGGCCACTGCTACAGTGGTGGCCTGTGATTAGCTAGACGCCAGCTCTGGGGACCCTGGGCACAGACTGGCAGGGAGGGCGGGCCTGGGGGGTGATTAGATACTGAAAGTATGTGGGAGGGTGCTTAAGGCAGGTGGAAATGACAAAAACAAGTCTTGCTCACTTTGCAATTTAGCCTGAGGTTGGCTCTGGTACAGAGTAACTGAAGCCAAGTTTGGAGGGACAAAAACAGCAGTTTCCAAATCACTTCTGTTTCCCCTTAACCAGGCACATGTGTCAGTCCTGAAAGTCCCAGGTGCCAACCTCTGCTGCGCTTGGCACATGAAAACAATGAGTGAAACCAGAGTCAGGACCGCAGAAACGACTCTCACAAGGATGCTGGCAGCAGTTTTGAAAGGGTGCTTTTACTGGGTCAATGGAAACAACACCAGGGACGTCTGTGTTTACGCATCCAGAGACAGAGTGGTCTCACACGTCTGTTAAAGGAAGCATAGGACTGCGCTCTGTGCTCCTTGAAGGAGGGAACAGATAACTTCTTGATTAATTTATTACACCAGGTAATCATTCCCCTTGAAAATGGAAGGCACTGCTGTACACATTAGCTGCCATTCTTTCCCTCATTCTCTTTTACCCTCTTTGGACTCAAGACTTTGCAGGTCTACTCTGATTTCTGTCATTTTACATTTGGTTCTGTGTTTTGGCATTGACCCCCTTCTATGATCAAGGGCCACTATTTTCACGGCTCAGAACAGAGTTTAGGATCACCTGCAATGAGTCCTCTGTGCAGGACTCTAATAGAAGAAAGAGAGTCGGAGTCATGATTCAAAGACACTGAAGGGGTTGTCCCAGTAATCCTTTGAAGGTTACTGTTAAGCCAGCAGCAAGCACTGAGATGAAGAAAGAGAGGGTGGTGTGTGTGTGTGTGTGTGTATGACGGGGCGGGGGGGGGGGGACAGGCAGACAGACAGACAGCAAGGCAGAGGCTCTAAAGTGACAGATTTGTTGTTGCCCCTCTGGATTTAAAAGAAGCATCCTACTTGCTCTGTCATATCCACACCAGGCCTTGTACCCGTGATAATTCCATCCTTCACATTCGACCTGCTTAAAAAATCTTTCATATTATTTTATACATATAAACTAGAGATGGGCCCACTGGTCAATCTCTCACCTGAACTGCCCAGTGGAGAGCTGTTTTGAAGTCCTTATCCACAAGGGTGGGGTCTGCCCCCTTCTTCAACAGCATTTGGGTGTGTTGAGGTCGGTTGTGGAAAGCTGCCCAGTGGAGTGGCGTCATTCCCTGCAAAACAACAGTCAGAGGGGCACAGATGAGCTCAGGCTCCCGGCAAGGAAACCGGGGCTCGTGCTTTCTCCCTGCACTGGGCAGTTGGGCTGGTTACTGCTCGTTCATTCATTGGTTAAATAATTCACCCAACAGATATTTGTTGAGCTTCTGTTTTTTGCCAGGCAAATAGGTATTGAGGATACAAAAGTGAGTAAGATAAACAAGACCTTGCCCTCATGGGCGTTGCACAGTGGTAAAGAAAGACAATAAATGCATGCAAACAAGCCAGAGGATTTTGTAGATTGGTAAATGCTCTTAAGTATGTGCACAAGGTTCTGTGTTAGAGAGTAAGCCAAGGGATCAGGCTTGTTCTAAATAGACTTACATAAAAAGAATTGGGGAGGAGAAGACATCCAGCACCAAGCCACAGAGGAAGAGAGTATGTTTAAGGAAGTCCCCTAAGACTGAATCATGCTAGAATGCAAACCCCCAGCACAAGGGCAGGGGTGTTTCTGACTGCTGTGTTTGCAGAGCCTAGAATAGAGACTGTGTGCATAGCTGTTGAATGAATGCATGCATGGAGTAGGAGACAGAATAAAACAAGATGAAGTTGGAGAGGGAGGCAGGGGCTGATTCTGGGAAATTTGGAGGATAGATACTGATGCTGTATAAACCATTTGGATTTAATTCTAAATTCAATGGAAAGACAGTGGAGGATATAGCAGATGTTGGTATGATCCTATTTATACTGTTGCAAAGAAACTGTGGAAGCTGGGAGAGTCAAATTGGTGAACCTCAGCTTCTTTCAGAATTTCATATAGTTAAGGAATAACTTAACAGTAATGAGTTTATGCTGGAAAATTGTGGCCCCCAAAACTGGTATGATTTGGAAGTATACTTTGAAAGACAGCCACTTCTCCTTGCCCACGCTTCTCTATTACATAAAATGCATCCAAAATGAATTGGGAATAAGATGTCTTTAAAGGAGGCAAAGGGCATGAATACCTTTAAAGGTCTCTCTCTCTCTTTTTTTTTTTCCTTATAGTCATCCCTGCAGATATGAGACATTGCCTTGGCCTTCTCTGCTCCATCCAGTATAAGCTGAGTGGAGAAGACAGACCTTGCCTAGTTAGAAATGCAGTAATAACAGTCCAGAGTTAGTACTTATTGACCCAGAGACCTTTCTGAGTTCTTTTATATATAATCTTACTTAATCCTTCAAACCACCTCTCTGTTGTGTTGAGGTCTACTCTGTGTTCACCAATTTCTTCTTCCAAGGCACATAGTCAGACTACATTGCAAAGTTCCTGCAGACAGGTGTAGTCGTCAGGTGACTGAGTCCTGATTATTCAAATATAGACAGAAGGGAGGAAAAACCCTACAGCCTGGCCCAGAAAAGAGACCATGTATTCCTCTCTACCTTTTCTCTTTATTCATCCAACAACTGAATTCAGAGAAAAGACAAGGTTCTAGAAGATGATGGGACTATGTAACTGAAAAATCTGAGTCCTGACTGATGAGGGCAAACGGGTCCATCCTGCCAACTAGTTTGGGACCATAATGTAGGCAAGAAATAAGTTTTTCTTGTGTCAGGCCACTGAGATTTTGGGTTGCTATTGCAGACAGTCAACTCTGACAGGTGCAATTGTCCTCATTTTATAGAAGAGGAAACTGAACTCTAGAGAAGTTCCCAAGTCTGCGAGTAGGCACGGAACTGAATGTAGGGTTTGAGGTTTGTGGGGCCCTGGGATTAGAATGCTAAATCCCCTCAACTAGTTCCATATTTTAAATCCTTAAATTATAGTACACTTTCAGGTTTCAAGTTTCAAATGTCATATAATACTGAGCCTCTAGAGATATTCTTGAGGCTTTTTCAAAAAATTGGTTCCTTGTGGAAAAGAATGCTGTGGAAAGTCTTGCTCTTATTCCAACAGCTGAAGTTTTACTTGGGGAATGCTGAGTAGCTCAGTGCATTTTAATAGGTCCTCTTCATTTTCAACTGGGCCCATTGGAATTTAAACTTGAGAGAATCAGATTTTTTATTTTTATTTTGCATGGCTCACTCCTTTCTCAGTTCTAAATTCCATTTGCTTCAGAGTCATTAGATTCATCACTAAGTGCCAACAATATTCAGGACTAAAGACTGAGTCAATTTTCAAGTCATGAGATCTGGGCCCTTGTCCGACTGTCTAAATCCCTAAAGTCTAGAATAGTGGCAGGCACACGGTAGAAACTCTAAGTACTACTTATTAAATGGATGAATAACTTCTCACTATTAGTGATTGGATTTCTTGCTTCTATAAAATTTGGCTTTGAGTTTTTGTAATCATACACTCCGAGGAAAAGGCAAAACATGACCTCTCCTTTATAGCAAAAAAATTAGTCAAATATGATCATTGATACCAACTTATCAGTTGATAGTAGAATTTTTTTGACAAGTAATCTTGTCCTTTGTCCTGCTGTCAAAGATGAGATAGACAGCAATGACTATATTCAGAAACACGACTCAGGAATGTGAGAATTCAGTAAGAAAATGTAGTTGTGAATTAAATTGTAATTATGTAGTCACCTAAACACAATTGCCAGACTTTTCAGAGTTATTCTCTTAAAGCAACAACAAAACTTCTTCAAATACCAATTTTCTTGCATGTTTTGGTAAAGGAATGGGATGACAAAACTATTGCTATTTTTGATACACCCACGTGGTGCCAAGAACTTCATATCTTCATATCAATTCTATCTCATTGAATCTTTCCAATGATCCTATATAAAAGTGAGTATTTTTAGACCCATTTCACATATTAGGAAATTGAAACAGTAACTAACTTGCTTAAGGCCCTGATCAAGTACAGAGTAGGTCTGGGATTCAAATTCAGGGTTCTCCGACTCTGGAGAAAAATGCTCTTTCTACACCTTACCCTGATATTCTTTGGAAATAAGCTCAGGTGCTGGAAAATTCTTTTCTTTGTGATTTTGAATCAGGAGCTGAATTCCAGTGCCTTTAGAAATGAATGACAGTCCTTTAAATGGCCCCACATTGAGACTTGAATTACTTTACTACTTCTCTAAATGCTATCACAATATCAACAATTTGTGAACATTCACCCAAGAGAAATTTCCTGCTGTTGCCTATTTTTTTTTTTCAGTTGGGTAATGAGAAATAAAAATAAATCCTCTTAGAGTTAATAATATGAAAACCAAAACTTTCAAAATCAGCTCATGGGCAGCGGTTGGTATTGCACAACACTCTTTCTTTAGGAACAGTTTCCTACAACTGCCTCCTTCTCCTTTCTTCAGCTTCTATTGATGCTATAGGCATTGTAGTTGTTGACCATTTTCAAGGTGGACTTCAGGCTTGGTGACTGGTGTCATCAGTCAGCAATGACAGAAATCACAATGAAGCTCTGACACAGGTAAAGGCAGATGTTGTGGTGTATTCACCCTGGAATGTCCCTGGCACTGAGCATACACTAGGTGTTCAAGAAATGTTCACTAGAAATAACTAGTGAATTGCACATTATCAAGGTTTCTTGAACATATGGGAGAACAAAATCAGTCTGTTGGATGCGAGAAAGACAGCCCCCTGTATTTAAACTGTGGAGACCTTTCCTACTAGCTCCCTAGAGTTTCACTAGAGACTCAGTTGGACCTTGAAAGCAACTAGGAGTTGAAAATCTAGGAGTCACTTGCACATATGTTGCAACAACACCCAGATGGCCTTGGGACTTTGACAGCAAAGTCCCATTTCTTTTAAAAAATAAAAAGCATTGGCTCAGAGTGAAGCATAATTCTCATTCAGTTATGAATATAACTGAATATTTTGAAGGGAAGTGCTAAACTTCAGTTGACTTAGGATCTGTTTTTAGATCGCTGAGAAGACTAATTGCACCTTGTAACTGTTGGGTGCACAATAAGGTTGCTCTGGAACAGCGCTCTTGCTCAAATGAGTGATTCTGTGCCCCAAGCCTGAGCCACTACAATTTCAGTTATGAGCTTACAAGTTCTATCAGCTTCTCAGAATATTCAGCCCCCCCCCCCCGCAAACCACCACAACTTTTCTATTTTCTGAGTCAGAAATCTGATTTAATGTGTAGCAGGTTTCATGTTTCAGAACTACGCTTTAACCCAACTCCAGCCAGCCCCAAAAGGCACAGAGAAACTTTGCTAGGCTTGGGTGTTGGGTACCCACCTGTCTTGGTGCACCAGGGGACAGAATTATAGCAGGTGGCTGAGGGTTCAGCAAAACCATTCCACATCCTCTGAAGGATCTAGAATTTCACAACCGTGTTGGTTCTGGTTGACATAAAAAATTCATATACTAATAATCCCCTAGCCACTGATGACCATTCCCCACAAAAATTATAGAAAACCTTCCTTAGAAAAGTGGAATGAATGATGTAAATTTAAAAGTGCATCAATTATACTTATTAAAATAAATTTGTGCTTTAGAATATATCTATTTGGTACTAGAATTGAATCCAGGGACCCTCAACCACAGAGCCACATCCCCAGTCCTGCCCTTTACTTTGTACATTATTTAGAGACAGGGTCTCATTGAGTTGCTCAGGACCTTGCTAAATTCCTAAGTCTGACTTTGAACTCAGGATCCTCCTGCCTCAGCCTATTGAGCCACTGGGATTAAAGATGTGTGCCACTGTGCCTGGCTATGCTTTAAAACATTTTAATGACTCTATTTTAGTATAAGTGATTTTTGTGATCCTATATATTTCTTTAATGTAATTTTAGACCGTTTCTGAAGAATATCAGAGACTGGGTCCCTAGGCTTCAACAACACATGACAGTTTGCAGGACATTTTTTTCAAAGACCATAAATAATATAAAATCTTGGGGATGGGGTTGTGGCTCAGTGGTAGAGCGGTTACCTAGCACATGTGAGGCACTGGGTTCAATCCTAAGCATCACATAAAAAAGAAATAACAATATTGTGTCCACCTACAACTAAAAAATAAATATTTTTAAAAATGACATAAAATCTTATTTGGGGGGAGTCGATT